AATCTTAAAAGATTTAGCTCAGTTCAATATTTTTATTCTTGTCACAGTTATAACCCAATCCAAGTTGAGGTTATCAGCTTTTCTATGGTGTGCAATTTCTACTTCGAATATTTCTTGGGATTACAGAAAGCTTTGTTATGGAAAACTGAAAACTTATTTTTTAAAAACTAAATAAGCATTTTTGAACTCCCAAATACTCATTTACCTGTAAAATTTGAAAAAGTGCCAGTATTATGTAAATACTTTGTTTCTATTCTAAAAATATTTACAAAGCATTGAATCAACAGACCCTGTCAGTAAAACAAAAATAGCATTTTAGTGAATGGTAGACAACTTTAATTATTCACTCTGTTCTTTGCCTTGAGTTTCAAGTAATGCAAACCAAAAATTGATATGACTTCTGTAAAATAGAGTATAAAATAAACTGCAAAAATATCAAGATGTCTGTGGGCAATGTTTAAATGACAAGTGAAACTCTTATTATGACAATTAGAAGAATTCATAGTGTTCAGTGTGAGAAGTCCTTGAATTTAGAGTAGAAGCTGGTGCCAAAGCATCCTTGACATCTCAAAGCATCTCAGCCTAGAATGCACACGGTACCTCACAAAGAGTCTAGTCTAGAGTCTATTGGAGCAGCATGAGGACAGAATGAAGTATTTTTTATTATAGTCTATGGGCTTTCTTTCAGTAAAGCCGCATAGATACATTAAAACATTCTTAATAAACTATCGAGTGCACTAAAGACTGCCAAGTGGGTCACGGTAGCTATGAAAACGAGTTTGCTTTGTGAAGTATTTGTTTGAATATTTTAAAGCTTTTGACATTGTAAGTGTATATTATAATTATAAGCTAATATATAACATTTCAAAAATTTCAGGCATCTGCTAGAACTAAAGCCTTAGGAGTAATAAATATCAGCTAAATCTTGCTTAATATCAATGTTCTACTCATTATTGAAATTTTCTATGGAAAACAAATCAAATAATATTTAAGTTACTAATAATTTTTACTATATATTTGATCCTGTTTCCTGCATTTCTAATGTTTAAATGAAATACATAAAAAAGCTCTTAACTTAATAATTTTTGAGGGAGGGGCTAACAAAATGTTATTTTTATATCTTATAAATATACTAAAGGTCCAGTGCATGAAATTCATGCATGGGGGTGGGGTCCCCTCAGCCTAGCCTGCACCCTCTCCAATCTGGGACCCCTCAAAGGATCTACTACTGCCCAGTGGGATCAGGTCTAAACCGACAGTCAGACATCTCTCTCACAATCCAGGACTACTGGTTCCTAACTATCCATCTGTCTGCCAGCCTGATCACCCCCAACTGCTTCTGCCTGCTGACCTGATCGCCCCTAACTGAACCCCGATTGACTGGATGCCCCCACTTCCTCCCTGCCCCCTGCTGGCCTGGTCACCCTCAACTGCCTCCTCCACCAACCTGGTCACCTCCAATAGCCCCCCCTCTGCCATCCTAGTTGCCCCAAACTAACCCCCCCTGACAGCCTGGTTGCCCCCAATTCCCTCTTCCCCATGCTAGCCTGGTCACTCCCAATGCCCCCCCTGCTGGCTTGGTTGCCCCATGCAGATTGCTGTTCAGTCATTTGGTTGTCCCTCACTAACTCCCCTGCCGGCCTTGTCGCCCTATGCAGCCTACTGGTTGTTACTGTTACTGTGACGACATCCTGGACAATTTGCATATTTCTCTTTTATTAGTACAGATATAATGTGTTATGTTCTTGGTTACATTAATTTATTTTAAAACTTATGAAGTTGATAATATTAATCTCATTTTTTGAATGAGAAAACCAAATTACAAGGGAAGGTAAATACTTGTTCACTTTAAGCCATCAGTAAGGTAATTTTAGATTAAAGTAATAGCATTTTTAATGTTCATCACTTGATTGTTTCGGATACAACTACCTCAGGTGATACCCATAATAATGTTTCTAATTCTTTTCAGGAGTTAGCATGAGACAAAATAAATAAATAAATAAATAAATAAATAAATAAATAAATAAATAAATAAAAATTAAAAAATGATAATAGCTCCAGAGGTGTTCTATTCTAAGTTAATTGATTGATATATAAAGTTTTGAAATTAGTTATATTGACTTTCAATATGGGTGGGTAATTTTCATGCCTCTGCTGAGTATTTCAAAAGGCTGATTAAATGCCAGGTTTCCCATTGGAACCTAAGCAGGGCCAGAGTGATAAATGTATTTTTAGCTACTCATGACAGGCAGGTTGGTGGACAGGAAGAGAGGAAGAAAGTAGGAAAGGAAGAAAGGGAGAGAAAGAGAAAAGGAAGGGAAATAAAAGGATGGTGTGAAATGAAATAGAGCTTTCTAAAACCTATTGTAGATTAGAATCACATGTTGGTCTTTATAAAAACTCAAAGTTCTCACTTAATGTTGTAGATAGATTCTTTGAAACAACTTTAAGTGAAACTACTATACCAAAACCAATTTTACCATAAGCTAATTGATATAAATGAGAGTGAAATTCCAACACATCTCATCAGTGTTATAATGAAACAACTTTATTGGAGAACCTGCCATAACTATTGTTACTAAATAAATAGTTCTGGTGAAAGAGGACCTTGGAATATGCTCTTTCAACCATAACATAGGTAATTATAACATGTTTTGAGATTTTAATACTATGCACAATATTTCCAATGTCCAGTCTGTGTTAACTCAACTGCAGTCTGGTTTCAATATCCACTCATCTGTTTAAGTTGCCATTCAGTCAGTGATATTCCAAATGCCAATCTTGAATGATGTTTTCTTTATGTAACTGAGCTATTTGACTTATTTTACATCTTGAAACAGATAAGCCACCGTTGCCTATGACACTGAATTTTCTTTATTCTGTTTGGATTTTTGCAATAGTTTCTTTACTCTCACCCTTTGCATATTTTCCTTACGTAGGTTTTTTTTTTTTTTTTGTGCCTCCCAGAGAACCAGCTTCTTAACATACCTATTCTCCCTAGTTAATCTCATCTACTTGCATGATTTTGATTATACCAATATACTGACAACTTCTAAATTTAACCTTCACAGTGCATTTCCTTTCCTGGACTTCAAACATATTTGTCAATTATTAGAATTCCTTATCCAGATTTCTCTCACACACTTCAAACTCAAATGCCCAAAAGTGAACTGATTGTCTTTCTCCTTAAACCAACCTGATTTTGTGTATTTTCATCATGAACTTCTGTCATCCTCTACCAGTCCCTCAAAGAAGTTAGGATATATTCCTGGACTATTTGTCTCATAGTTTGTTTTACCTCCAGTTTATTTCTTGAACAAATATTCTTCTTCTTATTGTAATAATAATGATTCTATTTTAAAAGTTTTTAGCTCTCATGTCAGTATGTATTATTTTCTATTGTTCTTTTTCTGTAGTCTTGCTCTTGAATCCAACATCACCAGAATCATCAGAATCACCTACTAACGAACATATCTACGACAGCTCTTTGCTGATTAATGTAAAGCAGTGCCACACTGCATAGAAGATAGACACAAGCTCCTTAATGTAACATACACACCATGTTAATCTGTGTTTAGTAATTTTATTTCTCTCCTATCATTCCAACCTGTTTTTTTTTCTGACCACTCCCTTCCTCAGAACTTTTACTCCAATACTACAAAACTGTTTGTGGTGGTCTGGTCTTACTATCCAACTCCTTGTCGGAATGGCCATCCTCATTTGTCTCCTTTTACTGGAATACCTTAGGCACCCCATAAACTCTTCACCTGGCCAGCTCCAACAAATCTTTTAAGACTCCAAACTTATAGCACCAACACAAATTTCTCCCTTGGTTTTATAGCCAAACATGCAGCTGTCTTTTCAATTTTATGCTAGATAGTTTGACAAATTTAACCTCTAACATAAACTGATTTTACTCCACCCACATTCCAAAGAACTGTTCTTTCCGTAGTCTTTCTATTTCAATAAAGAGAAATGTTTTCTACCAGTTGCTCAATTACTCAGCTCCAAAATCTTACTCCCGAACTCTCTCCTCTCTCTTTTTCCTCCTTTCATTTCATAAAACTTCATCAGTGATTTCAGTCTCTTACCACATTTTTATCAGAACCAATCACTTCTCGCCACTTCACCATTACTGCTACCATTCTAGTGCAAATCATTTACAGCTTTCATGGCTATTTTGAAAATAGCCTCTTAGACTAGTGGACATTATTATTCCAGCTTCCTCTCCCCCATGCCCTGCTTTGTCCTCGGCCTGGCTCTTCTCCATCCAGTCAGAGAGCTTTTCAAATACAAATTCACATGTTCTTCTCATCCTTGTCATGCTCTAGCTCTCTTAACATGACTTAGTTTTCTTCATAGCATTTATCATCACTTGATACACACTTCCTTGTATTTTTTTATTTCTTCCCACTATAATGCAAGCTCCATGAAAACACAGACCATTTATTTTTTCACTTAGACCATGGCTGGTCTATCATGACCCTCATCAATTTTGTTAACAAATGAATAAATGAATGTAGCTTAGGTGTCTCTTAATTCAGGAAGTTTTCAATGATAGACATGATTACTTAAGTGTCCCTTTCCCATGCTTTCTTTAGACTAGAATAGATATCCTTATTACTTTATTCCACACTGTTTTGTAGGTCCAGGTTACTATCTTCCATGATAGTGATCTTTAAGCATGGAAAACTCTCTCTCATCTTTTTTTTATTTTTTTATTTTAGTGTTATCAGAGTGTCAATCATCTAACACACACTTGACAAACTTCAGGATAGAATGAATGAATGAATATGTAAAGGCTGAGCATTCTTAAGAAATAATTCAGATCTTTCCATAATCATTAAAACAACAGACCTTTAAACATATCTGAATCAAATGGATCAAATATGTATGGCCTTGAAAATATACCTAACACTTTAGTAAAGGTTTTGTTAGTTGAGCTTTAACTGTTAGTAAAATAACCTCTATTTCAACAAACAACTTTTGTGTCTTTTCAGAGATCATCTATAGTTGGGTATTTAACGAGTTCCCTTCCTTTGTGGCGGAAGACAGCCGGCGGTTCATTTCCCAGGAGACTGGCAACCTTTATATTTCTAAAGTCCAAGCATCAGATGTCGGCAGCTATATTTGTCTGGTGAAAAACACGGTGACCAATGCCCGAGTCCTGAGTCCTCCAACACCACTCACTCTACGCAATGATGGTAAGTTGCATGGCCCTGGTTGAAACATCAGACACCTCAAATGTGAAACATAAACATGTAGTAGTGTTTTCTAAACCCTTGAACCGAGCACAAAATAAGTACAATGGAATTTGCCATACATAGAAACTCTATATTTTTGGTCTGAGATTATCACATACCTTAGAATAAAAATTTTGACATAGGAAATTGATGATCTATGGATGAGAAATAATAAGCATAATGCTCCCAATGCCATAAAAGGGGAGAGATAATGTGAAAAAAAAAATGAATACTAGCAAAGATTCCACAGCTCTGTGCTCTTTATGTAGCACATGTGCATTAATTGTGAGCATTTTATAGATTCACTTTTCATTACATTTTCATATTAGCTACCTTCAAACTGAATGTTCAGCTTTTAATATTTCATGGTATAGTTATAATTGTTATTATTACTTTTCCAATAATGGGAATAGTTGGATCTTTAACTTTTAAGTGCAGTTCAGGCAGATATGATAATTCTATAGTTATAGGTATTGCCATCTAAAGGATCTTCTAATTTAAGCACCTCATTTCTAGTTATAGACATTTCCAGTTAAGCATTGCATTAAAGAAGTCAAGTGCTATATTACAGTTGATATATGATATGTGGCTTGCTCTGTCATGCAATAAAAAAAATCTATAAATGCATATTATGAAGTGAATTTGAAAGTACTTATTGTGAAGTTTAAAAAAGAATATATTTTAACACTACCCTTTCATATATTTGGTTTCAGAATATATGCTGCTGGAATGTATGTCCAGAGTTATATCACAAGATTTTTCTTAAAACTTAGCTTTTCATCTTATATATTTGGACTTTATTGCAAATATAACACAAGTACATATAACAGTAATAATCCTAACAGAAAGTATAAAAGCAGTAGCTCTTTTTGAGATGAGGAAGCTCATCTGAGAGAGACGAAGGATGCAGCTAGGTAATGACATGGATGAATAGATGAGAAACAAAAACAGAATTTTGGAGACCAATTCAGAGTCTGTTGAAACCAGCCAACCAAGAGGTGCTGAGGAATAGAATGGAAGCAGTGGTAAAGGCATTGGCGAGCAGGAGACATGCCTGGGATTTTTAAGGAGGTAGACTTACCAGGATCTGATGGTTAATTAAACATGGGACTCTGGGGTAGGAGGAAGCTTTGACATAGTTCACTGAATGGGTGATGATTCATAGATCATGATTACCAACTGCAAATGGGAGTTTGACATTGCTCCTCCAGCCTACTAACTTTCTGTGGATTTGTTAACCTGTAACTCTCCCCAGAGTTTTTATAAGCCTCTCCACTTCCCTTAAACTGGACTATGAGCCAACACCCTTTCATAAAAACTATATAAGTATCAAATGTATCTTCCTACTAATAAAACTCAGACCTAACTACACCTCCATTCATATTGTTCTTCCCTCCTCCTATCTTAATAAAGATAGATATAATGTTTCTTCTCCTATTAGGACATCCCTTTGTCTTTGATGATTTTCACTCCCTCTGGCCTTTTCAGAACATTACACTATCAGTCATTATTTATTACATCACCAAATACCATGTCACTAAACTAATAAACTATTTTTAGTCATCATATTAATTGGATTTACTGGAGCAGTTCAAATTGTTTACCTTTTTGTGTGAACATCTTTATTTTCAAAGAATCATAAGTTGAGCAATGATATGTAAAGGCTCATTAAAGAAACACAAATAAGTAAAATGAAACTATTATTTTAAAGTTAACATTTAAATTAAAAAGAAAGAGGTAGCAAATGCCTGCTAAATTTCAGTTACATTGCTTAAATGATAATCGTACTTAAGATTCTGAGAGAGGTTAGAAAATTTACATTTCCTCTTTATGTAAATTATCTAAATTTGTTGTTTCCATGGTCATCTTTGCCTACTAATGAATTTATCATAACAATAGTGTATATCCATATTGAATGAATGTTATGATTTCGGATGAGAAGATAAAAACTCATACCTTCCTCCTATCAAATCCCACTCCTTAAAAAGCCACTTTTTTTTTTTAACTTCTCCTTTTTTCCTTCATGAGGATCATATATAACACTAGAAAATATGGATACTTCTTCTTTAATCAAGTTAAATGAAATCATCAATGTGGTTAAGAAAGCTCATACAAAGAGTATAAGATAAAGATAAATGAGCTTAGGAACAAGCTGTAAGTAATACAAATTGCATTAAAGGAAGGGTAATGAATGCAAATCCTGCAAAGATAATGATAAGAAGCCAGAGAATTAATTGAAAGAAACAGTGTTGTAGAGTCAAGGAAGCTTTGGAAATGCATGTTTGAATGAAAGAGGCTGGAGCGCAGCTCAAGAGGGTGGACTGGGTGCCAGTATTGGGTGCTGGTCACCCTTTGAGACCTTTGGAGACGAAGCCATGTCATGGGTGAGGATGCTGAAGGAAAGGAAGCAGTTCACTAACAAATAAGACATTTTGATAATCAGTTTCTGGAAAAATAAGGAAGCTTGTGAGTTAAAGGATGAAACAGGTAGAGAAACTGAAACTTGGAATAAAATTTGAGGGTTCTACAGGAGGTTAAAGGGCTGAAGACCATGTGTCCAGTGACAGCCTGAAGAAGTTCTGAAATCAAAGTCAGCCAAGGGTGGACATAAAAATGAGACGGAACAGAGGGGGATCGAAGGTATGCATGATGAACATCAATTTCAGTGAAATATTGGAATCCTTCTCTTCCTTTTCTGGCATGCAGAGAGACCAAAGGGTTGTCTCTCAACAACATGGATGAACTTTTCAAGGACAGCTAGAGTTCTTGGCATGAACAATGGCATTCAGGCAAAAGCTTTTTCACAGATGGGTGTCCACAGCCTGACAGCCAGTTCCTTGCTCTCATATCAAAGCCCAGAGGACTTCCCTGGCTCATGTGCTCAGTTGGTTGGAGCATCCTCTGGTGTACCAATAGGTGGTGGGTTTGATTCCCAATCAGGGTGAGGATTAAAAAACAAAAACAAAAACAAAAAAAACTGAAAAGACTTTCAACCCACTTTACCCAGCCTTCTCCTCACCCCACCTCTAAAAGGAACCAATTCTACATGCAGGGGAACCACAACCACTTCCAAACCTCTCATACTTAACATTTTTATACAATTCTAGGTTACCAGGTTCTGTTTAAAAATTACTGAATTGTTGAGTGGTCACAGAATTTATACTGGGATAATGTGTGTGGGGAAAAAAATCCAAAAAACTTTTAATATGCTAAAAATAGGCTTCAATTAGACTGGAATCATTTTTTTAAATTAAAAAAAAACCTTTCATATCACTATTTCATCTCTCTTTAAAAAAAAAAAAAGAAAACTATGTTTAAAAGGACATACTCCTGAATGTCTTCCCAAGTAGATGGCATACATTAAACATTATGTCTAAGATAAAAATTGAATACAATTGTGGATGAACCCATTTATTGCACCACGGTTGGCTGGAATTCCTGGTGGGTTTCACAAACCTCTCCTTGCAGACACAGGCATCAGAGTAGATATTTCTGCAGACTTGGCAAACACCTCTGCAGGGGTTTGAATATAAAAATTACATTTAATCTGCTGTGTCCATAGAGTTAGCTATAAAAGTCATTTTAAGAACATTGTGTTTTTATACTTCTCTGAAAAAAGAAAAAACACACAATAGTTATTTCTAAAAATAGTAGAGGCTATATACTTAGGCAAATTATTTCCTCTAAAGTACAAATAAAATTTTACTTTAAAGCTATTATGAAATGTCTTGGATTCTCTTCAAGCAAAGCTAGACACAATTTGCTTGTAAGTAGTTTTTGTTTTGTTTTGTTTTGTTTTGTTTTGTTTTGTTTCAAATGTATCCCAGAAAGCAGGAATGTGTGATGGTATGGGGGTGAGGAGTGAAACAGTGGAAAGGTGGGCTGCATCATGGAGGTGACCACTTCTGCAGGCAGCTGGAGCTTGAGCCCACAGGGCCAGAACCCTACAAAATGCACTCAGAATAGGTCCTTGGAAGACTTATTCATGGGCATTTATCTCCCATTCCAGGAAGGTGACTCTGAAAGCAGTTGATTTCTGTGCACCAGTATGTGGCTCTCAAGTTGCAATCCTGTGAAATGGGTGGCACCTGCACAGACCTGGTGGCAGTGGCAGGAGTGGATATGTGGGTGAAGATTTTTTAACTGGCCCACAAGAGAGGTCTAAACATAGATGAGGAAGCTTTAGAAGACTGAAGTGCATGACAGACATGGTCAGAATTTCCTCTGCTGGCCCTGTGGAAAATTATCCTCACACACTCTCTCGAGTAAATTGCATACCTACTAAGTGTCAGATATATATTTTTTTAATGTAGTGGAGGTACAACAGTGGGGAGAGAACAAATGCTATAACCATCCTTATACAATTTACAATATAATACAAGGAAGATAGCTCCCTGAATACTGAATATGGCTCAACATCCTAGGATCTGCCCACTCTCATCCAGTGCCCCATGAGGCCATCTCATATATCATTGCAATAAGAAACAAATTTAAAAATATGGCTCCAAAAGCATTTATACAGATTTATACAGATTACAGTGTGGAGAGTAATGAATGAGGTGCTGGCATTACACATGACACAGCAACATTTATTAAACATGTCACATCTCTAACCACATCTCTCTTTAACCAAGCTTTTATATCTCTGCCTCAACTTACCTCTACCTTTCTCCCACAACACTGTGGCCTCTATATTCCTTTTAGGGTCTCACTCTCTCTGCATTAAATACAGTAATTTCATACTTTCATTTCTTCTTTCATTTGAGTCTCCAGCCCAACTCTGAAAAAATATGTTTTGCTTATTTTATTTTTATTTAATCAATAATTATGTTTTATTACTGCTTGTAAAGCATCGTCTGAAAAACTTTACAAGTATTAGAGTAAAAGGATGGAAAATATACACAAACACATATTAACTTCAAAAAAGAAGTTGAAGTTGTTCTATTAATATCATACAGGAT